GATTGAGAGTGTTCACAGCTTCACTTTGCTCGGCTCCACAGTTAACACTCTTGGTACCAGCAGTCAGGAAATCAAAAAGCATATCGCGATGGGAAAGTCTGCCATTAGGGACCTCTCAAACATACTCAGGAGCAACAGTGTCTCTCTGGAGACTAAAGTGTGCCTGATACAGGTCATAGTATTTGCAATCGCTTGTTATGAAACTAGTATAAAATTAAAAAAATATATACTTTTGTACATGTTGTTGTTGTTGCTGCTTGTATATGCCATCGAGTCGCCTGTGACTCATAGCAACCCTGTGTACAGCAGTTCTAAATTCTGCTCTATCCTTAGCCAGTTTCAGTGTCTCTGACACACCTACCCCACTACCACAGTTACTGCATCAATCCATTTCATCTGGAGTTTTCCTCTCTTGTGCTGTCCCTCTACCCGTCAAAGCACAATGTCCTTCTCCAGAGACTTGTTGCTCCTGGTCGCATGCCCAAAGTATATGAGATGGAGCTTCAAAATCCTCGCCTCCAAAGAGCAGTTGTTTCACCCTCTCTGGGATAAATCTATTTGTTCTCTTCACAGTCGATGGTATATTCAATACTCTTCTCTAGCACCATTAAAGGAAAGGGATGCATCCTGTCTCCATACTTTTTCAATCTATATACCAGACCATTTGAGAGGCTGGAATTTATGACCTTTATGACAGGAATGTGGCATCAGAATTGGAGGACATCAACAGCCTACATTATGCAGATGACCCAACCTTATTCACAGAAACTGAGGAGGATCTAAAGTGTTACTGCAGAAGGACAAGAACGGCAATTGATTGAACCAATTGTACCATGAATGACAGATGGAGAGGAGGTTGAGGTTGTAAAAAATTTCAGCTTGCTTGGCTCCACAATCAACACTCTTGGCACCAGCAGTCAAGAAATCAAAAGAGGAATTGTTCTAGGGAAGGCTGCTGTCAGGGGACCTCTCAAAAGTGCTGAAGAGCAACAATTGTCACTCTGGAGACTAAAATACACCCGATACAGGCAATTACTTGCTATGTTTGATACATATATCCTTGTATTTTTCAAGAATATACCTACAAGTGGAATGATGAGATGCAGGTTATGTGTATATTCTGTTTTCCGAGATGTTGAAGAATTTTCTGAAGTGGTTGTACCAATTTTTGTGTGGTAAGTGACACAAACTAAACCCAATGCTACTGAGTGAATTCTGACTCACAGGGACTATAGAACAGAGCAGTTTCCAGGCCTGTAATCTTTACAGAAGACTTAATTTTTTTGCTCTCCCATGAACCCACAGCTGGATTTGAACTGCTGACCTTTTCTTGCCACAAAGGATTCACTTCTGTGAAACACCTACTCATGTATTTTTAATATATAATTGTGTTATCTGTCTTTTTCTCCTTGCTTTGTAGGTGATCTTTTGACATTTTGGAAATTAATCCTTTTAAAGTTTTTTTGTGTTTGTTTGTTTTAAAATTTTATTATTTTTTGTGCATGTACCATCAAATCAGATCTGACTGATACAGGAGGAAATTGTCCCTCCTTTTCAGGCAGAGCATCTGGTGGATTCGAATTGTGTACCTTTGGGATTGCAGTACAGCTTCTTTCCACTAGGCCACCAGAGCTCCCCTTCAAGTTTTATGCATTGGAAATACGTCTTTTGGTTTTGTAACTTGCCTTTCATTCTTTTTATGGCCTTTCTTAATTAATAGAAATTCTTAGTTGAACTTAGCAATTATTTTTGGTAATTGGAATTTTAAATGGTTAAAAAAAATCTTTG